GGGGGAAGGTGTAACAGGGAGAGAGTGAGACTGAATATAGTCTTTTGGCCACCGTTTGTTACAGGCATGACAGCCTCCTGGATTGGCCCCACTCAGAGCAGACTATGCAGACAGTGCTGCTGAAGTTCCCTCTGCTTGGTCCAAGTGCCCTTAGTACAGCACAAGTAAGTCTAATGAAGCACTTGCTCTGTGCTAGCGACGGTTCTGGGGACACCAGGGAACAAACCCAGGATGGTGGATAGAGGCCTGACACTGGGATGGCCCTTCTGCATCTGGGACTGGTGGGAAGTCTACAATGTACCCCTCTGCACAATGCCTCCTAGATAACGAATACCTGATTGAATGATTGGAGTTAGTCTACTAAAAATCTAACCTAAAAATCTAATCTTTTATAAAGTCTCTTAACTATAGCCAAAAATCCTGGGCACAGAGCAATACGGGTTCCATAACTAAGAGGTTGCTGTTCCATCACCCTAAAGTTAACTGTGCCCACATCCATTAACCTATAGCACTTATACCCCTATCGTTACGCTTAACAGTACCATACAAATAGTATTCTAATAAATTATGCTATGATGGCACTTGGCTCCGATTAATGCAGCACCATTACAAATGCAACATTTCAAATGAGCGGTACTGATATGTGTCATTTCATAGCCATCAGTTTGATAGACATTGTCAGTTATTTATGAATTCACAGGGTGCAGTGCTGGTGTACAAGAGACATGCATAGTAAAATACAATGAAAACCCAAACCCAAACATTTAGGTGTATGAATGTTCTAACTAATATAAACAAGTTATAGCTAATATAAAATGTACAGTTATAAAAAGCATTAAACACAAAATGTACAACTGATTTGCACAGATTCTGTTCAACCAGAATACTCCTAGCTAATATTAAATGTCTGGAAATTCTACTGGTTTAATCCTACTATTTTGCCATGACATATTATAATGCAGTTCATGTGTCCACAATTATGTAATCACACAAAAAAATGACAGGTAAGAAAAAAACAAGAGGTTTATGATTATTGTAATTAGTCTAAAAATAGTATGGAATTGAGATTGCTAGAATGCAATTTATGTATATTAAAAATGACACGTTAAAATGTTACATCCATTTAAATTAGCGTTCGTCAAAGATGGTTGGGCATATGAAAATCTGGAATATATATAAACTAAAAATATCAAGAAAGACTTCTTATTTTACATGTCTCCTAAACGTTTCGGTGGTTAGTAGTTTATGTTAAGGGAGCAACTCAAAATATGTTGGGTGTTTAACCATTTGCATTCTCTAATTGTTACTGGTGCAGAACTCAGAAATGTTTCTTTCATTTGCAAATAATCGCACCTTCTCACTAAGCTGCTTGGCAATGGTCTTGTAGCCCATTACAGCCTTGTGATTGTCTACAATCTTGTAGCCCCCTGTAGCCAAAGCGCAGCTAAGCGAAAAAAGGCCTTGACAGGGGTTAGGAGGCAGGCATAGGAGGAGGGAAGGAAGTAGGGAGTTATGGGTAAGTAGGCTTGGCTATTTAAATAGGCAGCCATTTTAAAGCCTTCACTTTTAATTACTACCTTGCTGAGTTTGTGTGCACTCCTGTGTCCACAGATTTGGTTTGGTGGGGTCTTTGTTTTTCTCTCCTTCTGCAGGGTCGAAGGATAACATGGAGGAGCTGTTGGAGCGGATCCGGTTGGCGGCTCAAGGACGTGGCGTGGACTGGCTGCGGGCGCAACTTGGACCAGCCCTGGCGGGTGCTGCGGATCATGAGGGCGGCGGAGGTCGGCCTGTGCGGGCTCGGAGGCCGCCGAGACGGCTGAGCCCAGGCGCGGAGTCCGGTGGAGACGGTTCCAGCGGCCGGGCGGCGGCGGGACCAGGCCGAAACGGACCCGGTAGCCGCATGGTTGAGGCTCCGCCTCCCGGCGCGTTACCGGGACGTCGGAGAAGCGGTAGCCGGCGGGAGGCTACCCGGGAGTCGGACGGTGCAGCTCCCGGTGCGGGGAGGGCTGCGCCTGGAGCGGGGGCCGCGGGAGACATCGGGCGGCCCCCTGGAACCGGTGAGGACGCGGGATTGCAGCCCGGGAGGGCATCTACTACACCCATGGCGGGGACTGGCGGGGCCGGTGCGGAAGCAGCTCGCGGACCGCCCCTGGAACAGGCAAGTGCAGGGGGTTCCGGCCGGGACCCCCTTGGCGCGAATCAGCGCAGGAGGACTGGGCACAGGGTTCAGAGACCTGGGGGGGACGTGGAGAGGGGTCAGGTGCCTTCTACAGCGGGGGCAGGGAGGTCTAGGGGGGAGGGTGCGCAGGGTAGTTCCAGGGTAGTGAGCTTGGAGCGAGGGCCAGTAGCCGGGAGGGTGGAAGGGCCAGGGGGTACGGCAGGGGGAAGTTTGCCATCAGGGGGGGGCAGGAGGTCGAGGTGCGCAGGGCGTTCAGGACAGGTTAGGGGTGCGGGGTCTGGGGACCGGCTGGAGGTACCGAGGGGAGGGGGTGCTTCTAGTCGGGGGGCCCGCCGGGGTGGGGGGTGGGGATTTCCCTGCGCTGGTGAGCAGATAGGTGGGCGTAGTTCTGGGGGGGGTTCAGGTTTGGGGTCAGGTGATAGCAGCCCGTCACCGGTTAGGGCCCGGGGGTCCGGGGGGTTTAAGGGAAGGGCTCGGCGTGTTAGGTCCTCATCTAGTAGCTCAGGGGGGGAGAGTGTCATGGCCCCCAGGCTGGTTACACGGGGGCGGCCTCTGGTAGAAACGGGAGGAGTCGTAGTCCCAGAGGCAGGGCCGATCGGGCCTTGGGTGGGCGAAAAGGAGTGGTTGCGCGACGGGAGGCTCTGGTGTCCAGCGGGCGCTCTCAAGGTCGGGACGGGGGGGCTGCTCATGACCAGTATGCTCTGCCCAGGACTTCTTCTCCTCGTTACAGATCTCGAGCCGCTCCGCATCTGATGTGGCCGGGCACCGGGTTGGCTCCCCGGTTGGAGGATCGTTAACGGATGTCGCTCATCCTGGTCAGGGGACAGTACACAACGCAGCCCCAGGAGCTTCGGGGTCGAGGGGCTTGGCCGGTGAGTCCTCTGCTTCTCTGCACTCCAGTGCATTGGTTCATACACTTCAAGCACTTCTCCACTCACTGGGAGCGGGGGGTGCCACAAAGGGCGGTGTGGGGCAGGTTTGGGCTCAGGGGGCCGGGGTGGCGGGCCCGAGCGAGGTTCCCTCCGCGGAACAGAGTTCGGGTGGGGACACTGCAGTGACGGTTACTGGGGCGGAGGCGACGAGCGAGCGGGCTGAGTTGACGGGGGGGGTGGTTCCTGATGCGGCCAGGCAACACGCATATGTGTCGTTTGCGGGTCCGCTGGGGGTCCACCTCAAACAGGAGGTGAAGGAAAAAATCTGGAAGGGTGACTTCTGCGAGATCTTTTCTCTTCTCCCTTTGGAGGATTTTATTGATCTCAAAGAGGACGATAAAAAAGATGAGAAGAAGGAGGAGGAAGAGAAGAAGAAGCGGTATCGTAAGATTCCCAAGTCTTTCGGTAACTGGCTGAGGGCCTTTTGCGTGTTGGCCAGTGTTCTGGGCGAGAAATCGCCGGGCCTGTGCTCCCCTCTGTTTTGTTATTTGGATGGCATTTGGGAGGCGTATCGCACCTATGGCGGACTGGCATGGTGGCGGTACGACGAGCAATTCCGGCAGCGTTTGGCGGCTAATCCGGGTATGCGGTGGGATCAAATGGACCTGCCTCTCTGGATGAAGCTGATGATGGCGCAAAAGCGCAGCCATTTCAGCCCACGGCCGGCGCAAAGGGGCAGTCCGCCTCGTCGGCCGCCATGCAAAAGGGCTTCTGCTGGCTCTTTAACGAGGGCCAGTGCAAATGGGGAAACGCCTGTCGCTTTAAGCACGAGTGTTCGGGCTGCGGAGGCGCGCATGGGCTCAACCGGTGCTTCAAAAAAGGGAAGTCGGGGCACACCGGGGTCCCTACCTCGGCTGGGGGGGAGGGGGAGTTTCGCTTGCCCCGGGGCCTAACCCCGGTGAGGCTAGACGCGATGGAGCCGTGGCTAAGCCGCTACGGTAATAAGGCAGATGCCGTGGCGCTCCGGGCGGGTTTGGTCAGGGGTTCTTTATCCCTTTCCGGAACCGGGGGGGGACTGGGGTTCGGCGCAACCTTAAATCGGTGGCTGAGTTCCCGGGTGTGGTGCGGGAAAAACTGGGCAAGGAAGTCAAATTGGGGAGGATGGCAGGGCCGTTCCCGGCTCCTCCATTGGAGGGTCTGCGGGTTTCCCCGCTCGGGGTGGTTCCCAAGAAGGAACCGGGCAAATTCAGGCTCATTCACCACCTCTCCTACCCGGAAGGAGAGTCGGTGAATGATGATATTGACAAGGACTTGTGCTCGGTCTCATACGCATCATTCGACAGGGCGGTCGAGCTGGTAAGGAAGGCCGGGCGCGGAGCACTGTTGGCTAAGGTGGATATTGAAGCAGCGTTTCGGCTGCTTCCGGTCCACCCAGCGTGTCATCACTTGCTGGGGTGTTTCTTCGACGGGGGGTACTTTGTGGATTTGTGCCTTCCAATGGGTTGTGCTATCTCCTGCGCCTACTTTGAAAAGTTTAGTACTTTTCTTGAATGGGTGGTCAAGGTTGAGGCGGGGAGTGGGGCTGTGGTACACTACCTGGACGATTTTCTCTGCGTAGGACCGGCGGGCTCCCCCGCCTGCCTACACTTGCTGAGAGCGGTCGAGTGGGTGGCTGGCCATTTCGGGGTCCCGCTGGCGGCGGACAAGACAGAAGGGCCGGCTCAGTGCCTTAGTTTTCTGGGGTTGGAGATAGATACGTTACAAGGGGAGTGTCGGCTGCCGTTGGAGAAGTTGCGGCGGCTGAAGGAGGAAGTGACGACGGCGGCTCAAGCCCGTAAGGTTACATTGCGGCAGCTGCAGTCGTTGATCGGGATGCTGAATTTTGCATGCCGGGTGATCCCAATGGGTAGGGTGTTCAGCCGGAGCCTGTCGGCAGCGACGGCAGGGGTGCGATCCCCGCGTCACTTCATTCGGGTGTCGTCAGCCATGAGGGCCGACTTGGCCGTATGGGAGACCTTTTTGCGGGAGTTCAATGGGACGGTGATTTTTAGACAGGAGGGCGTGTCGGCTGCGGAACTGGAGCTGTTCACAGACGCGTCTGGTAGCGTGGGCTTCGGGGCTTATTTTGGGGGATGTTGGTGTGCGGAGCGATGGCCGAGGGAGTGGCGACTGAGCCCCCTCATGCGGAACTTGGCTTTCTTGGAGCTGTTCCCGCTGGTCGTTGCGTTGGCCCTGTGGGGGGATAGGCTGCGGGACCGGAAGGTGGTCTTTTTCTCGGACAATATGGCCGTGGTGCACGCTGTGAATAACCAATCAGCGGCATCGAAACCCGTGGTTAGGTTGCTGCGTCATTTTGTTCTGTTGTGCATGTCGCTAAATGTTGTTTTTCGTGCACGCCATGTGCCTGGGTTCATGAATGATGTAGCTGACGCCCTGTCTCGTTTTCAGTGGTCACGATTCCGGACGGTGGCGCCGGAAGCCCAAGAAGTGGGGCAGGCTTGCCCAGACGAGATTTGGCGGCTCGGGGCGACCTGCTTGGAGACGTAAAACTGTGGTCATTGGTGGTTGGTAGGTTCCGAGTCCTGTCGGTGGCTCAGAATCTGGTGGGGCAGGGGTATCCGGGTATACCCCTGCCATGGTTAATTTATGTTTGGCACTTTAAGTTGGTATGTTGGAATATGTTGATACGTATGTTATATGTATTGATATATGTTATTTATATGGGGGTCATTGCCTGTTATATTAACAGAAGGATTCGGTTATGAGGGCGGGGTATGGGGGCAATGACCCATGTTTATTGTTAAAATTATTATTGCTTAATAAATTATTATTATTCAAGATTGTTTAAATAAAGCTGTGGACAAATTTTCCCATATACCTTTGTGTCAGTGAGTTATTGGGTTAGGTATGTGGGAGGGTTGTCCTGGAGTCCGACTGCCCATATGGCGACTATATACCGGTCATGTAGCCCCATGTAGCCAAAGCGCAGCTAAGCGAAAAAAGGCCTTGACAGGGGTTAGGAGGCGGGCATAGGAGGAGGGAAGGAAGTATGGGGTTATGGGTAAGTAGGCTTGGCTATTTAAATAGGCAGCCATTTTAAAGCCTTCACTTTTAATTACTACCTTGCTGAGTTTGTCCCGCCCACCCTCCCTGAATTTGGTTCGGACTTGGGTTATCCCGTTTTTTCACAGCGGCGGGATAGGGAGCTGAAGGAGAAGAAATAGGCTCCCTAGGATGAACGTCATGGAGGCGTAAAACTGTGGTCATTGGTGGTTGGTAGGTTCCGAGTCCTGTCGGTGGCTCAGAATCTGGTGGGGCAGGGGTATCCGGGTATACCCCTGCCATGGTTAATTTATGTTTGGCACTTTAAGTTGGTATGTTGGAATATGTTGATACGTATGTTATATGTTATATGTATATGTATATATGTTATTTATATGGGGGTCATTGCCTGTTATATTAACAAAAGGATTCGGTTACGAGGGCGGAGTATGGGGGCAATGACCCATGTTTATTGTTAAAATTATTATTGCTTAATAAATTATTATTATTATTCAAGATTGGTTAAATAAAGCTGTGGACAAATTTTCCCATATACCTTTGTGTCAGTGAGTTATTGGGTTGGGTATGTGGGAGGGTTGTCCTGGAGTCCGACTGCCCATATGGCGACTATACACCGGTCATGTCCCTGACATCCATAGACAGCTCTTTGGTCTTGGCCATGATGGAGGGTTTGGAATCTGATTGATTGATTGATTGATTGCTTCTGTGGACAGGTGTCTTTTATACGGGTAACGAGCTGAGATTAGGAGCACTCCCTTTAAGAGAGTGCTCCTAATCTCAGCTCGTTACCTGTATAAAAGACACCTGGCAGCCAGAAATCTTGCTGATTGTTAGGGGATCAAATACTTATTTCACCCATTGACATGCAAATCAATTTATAACTTTTTTGACACGCATTTTTGTGGATTTTCTTTTTTTTTGTTATTCTGTCTCTCACTGTAAGGATTTTTTCATTTATTTTTTATTTTATTTTAAGGAGAAAGAGGAATGTTTCTGTTAGCAGGCAGTCGTTCCCAAGGCATGGTAAAGATAAGTGACTAATAAAGTAATCCAACAGAAGATTAGACAGGGGATAGTCAGTGCCCAGCTCCCCTCCTATGGTTAATCACTCAATACAAGTCTATGAAGGATTTCAATAGATAGTCCACCCCGATCCTCCTGCCCATGGCTCTGGTGGCTGAAGCAGCTATGATGGCTACCCTGTCTCTCCTGTTATGTTGCATTAAAATTCCAAACTGACTTTTGATTTATATAATTCCTTTTCCTGGTGGTGAAATTCATCTGTTATGCTCTAAAATTAGACAATGAACTTCTGGTTTGAAGGAAGACAGAGTTGTCAAGCAAGAGATGATTGATTGTATCAGCTCTTCATCTCAATTATTTTAAATACAATACTTTGGGGACCCTCACTGTGGCATACACAGTCACTTTTGTTGTTATGTTGGGAAGCGAGGGGACTAGCTGAAAATAAAGGATAATCCATGCTCTGGCTAGCTATTACTAGATGAATATATGTGTGATGCGTTTTTGTATTGCCCTGTATCTAGCATCTGTGTGTATGGCAGTTAGAGATGGAAGATAGCTGCAACTCTGTCAAATTCTACTTATCCCATTTTCACAATGTTATAGACTCCTCCTGTCCAGGAAAACATGGTTTAAAGCAGATTTGTCACTTTCTGGCATCTTTGCATATTTTGCAAACACTCCAAAGGTCACATCTGTGGTTAGGGTCAGGTGGCAATGGGGTGCAAAAGAATATAGGTTTACTTACCTAAAGCCTTGACGTCTTATTAGACTCCTTAATTTACCAAAAGCTGTGTTGAGCATGCACGAGTGCATAACACTGAGACTGTGGGAGCCTTCCTGACATAGTTACATAATTACTGAAAAGAGAGGTGTCCATCAAGTTTAGCCTTCCTCACATCTGTTTGTTGCTGTTGAACCAAAAGAAGACAAAAACACAAAACTTGTTTGAAACAAACAAGGAAAACCATTCCTTCGTAACTCCAAAATGGCAGTCAGATTAATCCTTGGATCAAGAAGCTATTACCCTACAGTTGGAAAATTATATAATTAAATATTGTGTTTTTACAAGTATGCACCTAGTTGCTGTTAAAACATCTGTACAGGCTCTGCAGGCAGAGAGTTCCATATCCTTATTGTTCTTACAGTAAAAAAACCTTTCCTTTGGCTTAGACTAAATCTTCTTTCTTCCAGTCTAAACGCATGACCTTGTGTCCTCTGTAAAGTCCTGCTTGTAAATAGATTTTCACACGATGGTTTGTACTGGCCCCATATATATTTGTATAATGTTATCATATCCCCTCTGAAGCGACGCTTTTCTAAGCTAAAGAGGTTTAAATCTGCAAAACACCTACAAAAATGCAAGTTAAACAAGATTTCAAACGCCACTGGTATTCAGCTACTTCTGGATTTCGCTGATACTCAATCACATGGACCTTGTGGATCTGCCTCTATCTGACATCCTCGTGACGCATTTAGCCCGCCTCTCAGGTTTCTTCCTGACAACGTCATGATCTCCTCCTTCTTTTAAGGGTCTAGCGCCTCCACTCTTTCTTTCCCATTGGACGTGGGCCGTGGCAAACATCCGTGATTCACCTCCCCTTCTCGGGGGGAATATTGTGCACGAACAGTTCATATTTATTCAATGTCCACTAAAGTTATAGTAAAAACACTACCTGTTATCTCCAATATAATCTTAAAAAAGATTATAATCACTTCACAGTAGGTACTTAGTAAATGCAATAAAAAGTGTACATTTGACATGGCAAAACATTGTTAGAATATTCATGACATTATTGCACAGTCGTTATTCGGCATGTGCCAACCATACTTTAATAACACGCAGACACAAAAAGTTCTGTTGGAGTATAAAGTCCACAGCTTTATTAATTAATATCAATATATAAATTAACAATTTAGGGTCATTGTCAACAGTACTCCTTCATTAGGCTCTCTTCCTATATCATACCCCCGACAATGACCCTACCAAAACAAACATTAGCATAACCAATAATACATACACGGAACTCAACGGCCTACCAAGAGGCCCCACCTCCATTTGTCTAACTGCAGGGGTGTACCCAGACACCCCTACACCCCTTGGTTCGTAGCCACCGACGGGCTCGAACCTACCTCCATACTTTTGACTTCCGGCCTACTCCAGCCTAGACCTTGGCCTACCAATTTCTTAACCCACCAAAATTCCAGTTTAACCAAGACCTTTTCCCGCCGCTGTGACCAAACGGGAACTACTACTAACTCATAGGGTGGGTGGGAGGGACAATTTACAGGTAAGAAAGGCTCAAGTTAGACTGAACTTACCCTAAAATGGCCGCTATTTAACTTCCCTTCTAACCCACGCCCCCCAGCACAATCACAGGACAGCCTCTTGACCTGAACTTCACCCTGCCTACTCCTGGCTCTGTAAAGGCCCACTCCTCCCTGCGTTGCTCCGTGGTTTCATGACATTATTGCAAAGTCGTTATTCGGCATGTGCCAACCATACTTTAATAACACACAGACACAAAAAGTTCTGTTGGAGTATAAAGTCCACAGCTTTATTAATTAATATCAATATATAAATTAACAATTTAGGGTCATTGTCAACAGTACTCCTTCGTTAGGCTCTCTTCCTATATCATACCCCCGACAATGACCCTACCAAAACAAACATTAGCATAACCAATAATACATACACGTAACTCAACGGCCTACCAAGAGGCCCCACCTCCATTTGTCTAACTGCAGGGGTGTACCCAGACACCCCTACACCCCTTGGTTCGTAGCCACCGACGGGCTCGAACCTACCTCCATACTTTTGACTTCCGGCCTACTCCAGCCTAGACCTTGGCCTACCAATTTCTTAACCCACCAAAATTCCAGTTTAACCAAGACCTTTTCCGCCACAGCACTTGCCTTGACCCCTTAAGGACATGTGCGACCCCCACCACACAGAAACAGGGCTTGCGCTATCCCGTCTTGCAAACCTAAATTAAAAAGGTCATAACCAACATCCGATAAGTGCACCCCGTCATCACGAAAGTAACCCGGTAATCTCTCTTCCAATTCCCGATGCCTCACCACCACGCCTCCTAACCTTCG